ATCCCATGTGAGGAGACTCGCAGGTGCCTTACTTTGTTCTTCGCAGGCTTTGTCATGCCTCCTGTGTTTTTGGCTGAGGCATGTCCTTGCAGGTTGGTACAAATGAAGCAAGCTTGAGCTAAGGTTTAACAGTCTGTTCAAGCTTTACATAAAACCTGCACACTTTTTTTATACTTTCTATGAAGTTTTTATCATTACAATATTTATTTTGGAGTCCATATTCATAATTTTTGCTGTGCATGTATTAAGGTTGAGTGGCAAACTGTCATCAATTTTTTTCCCATTCTGGTCAAGGAAGCCCTGTGGGGCTATTATAGGCAATTGTCCGTGGATTAAGGTTACGGGAAAATTGTGGTATGGATAGCGTTTGATGTATAACTTGGCGCTATTAGCTGTAATTTGCAGTTGAACATTAGCCATTAATCTTATACCAATCATTTGAGTTAACATTATTGAAACCTCAATCTGAATACTTTAGTATTGTGTGATGGTGGTGAATCATGTTTTGAGAATTTACCAGATTGTTGTAATTACATATATAACAAGTGAACTTCAATTTTTTCACATACCTTCTTCTCTTTGCATGCAAAGGTGTATTTAGCTTTTAAGTTAAAATTGTGGTATTTTTGATGTGGTAAGAAAGTTCATGGTGGTATAAATGTAAAAATGCAAAATTTAGGTGCTATCTATCTATCTATCTATCTATCTATCTATCTATCTATCTATATATATATATATATATATAGATGCGTCTTTTACTCAGATCAGTTGGTCGGGCATCTACTTGTTAGTTGTAAGTCCCCTTTGGTCTGGGGTTTGATTCCCCCCGGTGGAGGGTGTGGTACTCGAATTGTTAGGTGTGGTATCTATGTAAATGCTCTTTTTTTTTTATCTAACTTTATATTCTAATCCTGTCATAGGTAATACTATTTCTGATTATATTAGTGCATCTTTTATTCCTCATTGTGCATGCCTAATGCATACTAGGGATGTTATGCTTACATCTCTGTAATATAATTGCTTTCGGTTCTGTTCTTGTTTAATGCATTTTTATCCTAAAATAGTTGTTTTACACATTTTTTTGTACATTTTATATGATTTAGTTTCGTAATGTCTCTTAAAAAAATTTAGCGCTTGCATTGTCAAATACTTTTGTATTTTAACTACATTTGTAGAGGTTATGTTTTTATCCATATGCTCTTTTTTTATGATGGATTTATGGTACTTTTTTGTTTCATTTGATATTATAATAATATTTATTTTAATATCAATTTTAAATAAAAAAAATGCATATCATGTATTTAAGGTTTTTTTTCCTCTTGATAAACAAAAGCCTTAAAAAAACCTCCATCTCAAAATATTGAGAAAAGGTGTTGAGAAGAGAAACGTGTCGAAGATTCAGCTTTATCACTTCGTCCTGCTGTTGCAGCTGAAGCGAATTTCTGAAAGTATTCTTCGTAAGTTGATTTTCACCAAGAACATGCAGCTGAGCACTTCTCAGTCCAAACGAATATTGCGACTACCATAGAGACATAAAACATGTTTGCTGTTATTATTATAAAGCACCATATATCAGTAGAAAAAACACCTTAGATGGTTCTTTTAAAATTTAGTAAGAAACTGAAGTAGCAGCTACTTTTCAGTAGGTATGGAAAGCCTCTAGTCCAACACATTCAGATGCCAACTATTGTAAAAACAAAACTCCAATCAGGAGGATACTTTATTTGTTATTTGATGTTCTCTGAAGTTCATTTTTGATTAAAACGAAATACATTATAAGATCCAGGAATTGCCAGTAACTGCAGCAGGAGACTAGAAAATTTTAGGTGGAAAGCAACAGAAATAATCCAAGTCATTTGTAATCCTAGATGGACTGAGAAAAAGCATACAGCAGCAGAAATTCAAATCACGTAGCGTCGGGAAGGCATAAGAAAAGGAGTGATTTCTCATATGTCCACGGGTAAGATTAAATCTAGTAACTCAATATATTTTGGGGGACAAGTAGTTCATTCGTGTATCAGTCTGTTCTGGTCCTACTTGTTTAGCAATATAAACAATGTTGAAAACCCATTATAACATTCATTAAGATGACCAAAATAACAATAAATGACAGAGGACAAGCCCTTCTCGCTGTTGAATAAATATTTGAGGGAAGAGGCTTATAGTTTATTTCATCTTAATATTCAGTTAAATTCATAGGAAGAAAAAAATAATGTCGTGGATATCAAATTCCTCAAGCCTAAATCAGTAGTGGACAAAATAATTAAATTCATCGGCAACTTCACATGGAAGAACGAATGATCCATATCACGAGATAGCATTTGCAATGGATTAGCCCTGGGAAAAAAAATATGATTTCCTCCTTTAGAAAACCAGCCTCTATTAGTAAAAAAATTTCTATTATACTTTCATTTATATGTTTGTTTTTCATCTATATGCCACAAAATACAAAGCAAAAAAAAAAAAAACAAAAATCCTAACATTTCATCAAACTAACTAAATTAATTCATAAAGACTGGCATACAGTATAGTGATTTAAGTATATTAAAAAAAACGGCTCTATTCTACGATAGGTAAAGAAGGATATTTGATAAAGTTTGGTCGTTTCACTGTAATATAAACTAATTCTCGACTTTCCCTAATTTATCCACCTTTTAGAGGCATTTTGCCTGACCGACTGCTGCTACATTTTTTTATTAAAGGAATAACCTCAGGAAAATAAAGAAAAAAAGAACAACACTAGATGCTCAGATATGTGCGAACTCTTTCATGCCTTGTTAATATTAATTTTTCTCAAACCAAATCAGTCTTAACAAAAAAATCAAGCAGTTAAAGGAATAGTCTCTGGAAAATAAAAGAGGTATGACTAGCTTCTGGTTTAATTTGATTATTGATGACTAACTTTTGTAATTCCAAAATTGTTGTGAGCTAGCAAATTTTCAACGGAGATAATTAAAAATGTTCACATTTTGAATATCTGGTATACTTATTTCAAAAAATCTAAAAATGAGAACAATCATGAGGCTTAACCTAGTCGAAATACTCCACTATATAGTTGAAATTATAAAGTGTTCTTCTTCTAAGTTAGAGAAAACTGAATTAAAAATTGCAAGTACTTAACTAAATGCTAACATTCAAATAGTAAAAGCCGTGTGGCAATAATTAAATTATAACAACCATTATTAGACTACAACGTCAGTATTTGGACTACAACAATTGTTAGTGATAGTTCATGATTATTTGTGGTCATGGCTTCTACCACTCTTCATAATCTTCCCTTTAAATTAAAGAATGTGAGTTTATTTTTTATTTTTTAAGGGAAATTTTTCTAAATTTACAAAAAAAATTCTTAAAAACATTCCATTAGAAGATCTTTGTTAATTCTTATAACTAGTCATTCTTTAAGCATTTATGTACCTTAATGACATCAAAATTTAATGATCTTGTGCTTGTTTGATCCCTCTCATTGAATTGCTCGATGTGATATAAGGATGTCATATTCTAAAGATCATTTGACCTTCTAATTAAGGTTTCAAACTTTCAATTATGCTTCAAGTATTTGATCATAGCTCAATTTGATTTAGATTGAATCAACTTTGGTGTCGTTAGATTCATATTATCGAGATATTCGGTTTGACTATAAATCTGTTGATATCAGAACTTAAATGTGCTAGAAATTGACTCATGAAATTCTTATTTGAAACATATTAAGATTTATGCCTATTCATATAGATTTTTTTTTGGTGATATATTAGTTGTAACCCTTTTTTTAAGATGTCAAAATTTGTGTCCTCCAAAAATTCATGTCCTAAAAATTTAGTTATTAAAAAAAATAATTTCTGAATTATTACAAGGTATGATCGTTCCTTCGATGTTAACGTGGACCTCTCCTCAAGGACGCGAACCAAGTAAAATCTCATTTACCATAATTTCATAAATTTTTGCAGTTAGTACATCGATCCAAACAAATCTTATTAAAAGATTATATATTTATAATTTCTCCAATATAATTTTAAAGGCTTTGTTAAGCTATAAAAATTTTTAAATTCAGTCTATTTTAAAAATTGGTGAAATAGACATGTGAACCGAAAGGTAGATCACTTCATCGCTACCCCTAATAGCAACATGTGTGCACACACGGGCATGGATGAACAATCTTGGGCGCTTGTGCGGTTGCCTCACAATTGCATGCTTAGGGATGAACACACGTGCAACAGAGTATTCCGGACTGAGCCCACAGGCATACGCTAAGGCGCAATGACCCAATCTTGGGCGCTTGTGCGGTTGCCTCACAATTGCATACTTAGGGATGAACATGCACGTGCAACAGAGTGTTCCGGACTGAGCCCACAGGCATACGCGAAGGCGCAATGACCCCCATAATGACATGTTAGAGTGTGAATAGGTGCATCCACACATGCAGATTCACGTCAGTTGCACCTCCCTCAAAGGTGTGTCAACACTTGCACACATCAACAAGTATAATTGCATGCAACGAGCAATCGACTGCTCCAATACTTGGGTTTGCAACTATAAATACTCCACTGAGGAGGGAAGAATTAACTCATGTCTTGTATCTTTAAAATCCTCAAAGCTTGTATTAAGAGATGTGCCAGATTATTAGCTACAGATTATTAAAGCCTCATTATTATGCATGGGCTATTGTTACCTTATTGTTGTCTCGAAGCTATTAATGCATAATTATGATCCTTAAGCTATTATAATTTGATTATTATCTGTAGGCTACTGTCAGCTAATTATCATTTACATGCTAACATTATCTAATTAGAATATTTGATTATTATTGCTTGATTATTATTTTCAAGTTATTATTATTTGATTACCATCTCTAGGTCGTTGTGACCTTGGTTATTATATTCATAGTGTTATTGCATGATTATAATTTTCATGCTATTTTTGTCTAATTAAGAGCACGTAACTATCTTGTGTTGAAAATTTGGAGATTATTCTTGAGCTAGTATCCAAACTTTTCTTGAAAGAGATGTTCGTCCTTGTCAAATGGATCATATTTAGATGTGATCAAGATTTGTAGTTCTCATGTATAGACTCTGTTCTTCCTTTAAAAGCCATGTTGACTATCTTCTTCAGACAAATTATAGTTGTCAATGACTTTGAGGATGAAGAGATAGTTTGCTAGAATATATTAATGTTGAATGCCAATGTTAATGGTGCTATGCATCATCATGGGCTTTAACAAGATTGAAATCATTTGAGATGACCAGTAATTAAGATAAATATTTCTCTCTTGCGGCAAACATCAATATAGAAGAGTTCACAATAGATTTTGAGGTGAAATTTGAAACTTATAAAAAATATAAAAAAACTTTGAGTGATATTGATAAAAATCT